TTTAGATTTAACATTTAACATTTAGGTGTAACATTTAATATTTGGATTTAACTACTTGTACTTGTCATGTGATGTAACTTCTATACAGACTGATATATTTCATAAACGTTGCTGTAAATGAAGCCTCTTTGTTGAATTTCTTCTGTGGATTTCAAGAGTTTTCCTGTCTCATCTGCATTCAGACAGCACACAGCCAGGGGCGGAGCTAGAGGGGGGGCCGGGGTAGCACTGGAGTACCTGTGAGTTTCCTGTAAGACACTCACCAATACACAAAAATAAAGATCTTGAGTCAAGCAATTAGTCCTTAAAGGTTTTGTTGTTTTTAATCTTGCAGCAAGAGGAACAGTTCTGTGATGTACAAGAAAATGCTCGGAGTGGGGCAGTCCCACACTGGGTTTTATACGTCTTTACAAGCATTAGAAGCATTCCTCCCTTACATTTGTTATCACCTAACTGTCACAGTGAAATGTATCAGCTATCAGCTAACAGGCCCTCTCTGAACTGTGAGAACGAAGGTCGCCTGTTGCTGCGTCTGCAGAAACACATTTATTACTTTATTACTTTCTAGCAGAAACACATTTATTACTTTATTACTTTCTGGACAGGACAAATGTTCCATTACAATACTTTATTACTTTGTTAACTCTTAGTTGTGAATGGTAATGTTGCAGTCGGAAACACAGACGGACGCTGAGATGTAGTTCACTTGAAGCTGCTTTATTTTATGGATGTTAACACACTCAAATAATCAGATATACACTCAGGTCTGCCTACACATATTTACAGCTATTAAAAAGTCTGTCACAATCTGACGTTTTAGAACAAGAGCAGTTTCTCTGTCGTTAACTTTGCTGGTTTCCTCGCATGCGCCGCCTGGTATTACTAACGGCTGAATGTTAGACCCATAAAGACAGTAAATAACTGTGTATGTTACACTTCATTATAGCAGTTCACTTAATGAAGAGAAGATGAGCGAACACTAAACTTTGTCAAGGCGAGGACAGAGTGTGGTCCAAACGTTGGTAATAAAATCAGTGGAGTTCAGTGTGCAGCCATCTTCTCTTGATTGTACCTCCACCAGCTCCAGTAATGTGGTGGTTTGATTGAACAACAGTGTGAAAGGCTGCCTGCACACAAATATTTACTGTTCTATCACATAAATTGTTTATTAGTAAACATGAACAGTATTTCCTGCAGCCTGCTTTGTTACAGCTGCTGGTCTTCTTGTGGTGCGTTCAGGTGTTGTAGTAACTTATGAATTTTAGTTTGTAATTAAATATTCTGGATAGAGCGATCTGATTTGGTATTAATTGTAATTGTTGGAAAAATGAAGTATTGGGAATAGACAAAAACGTAATACGAACCCAGAAATATATTCATTATTCATTTATTATTGAAAATTATATTCTCTGTATATCTAGAACTGAGTTCTTGCCTGTTGACAAATTTCACATTATTACTGTGAACAAACTAAAAGACTGAATAACATTAGCAGTTAATTGGATTTGTACCAAATGAACACTTTATTTTTATTTTAATCAGTAAAAAATTACATAATTGTTTTTGAGCAAAGCTTCTCAATATCATGTAGGGAATTATACACGTAAATAACGCTCAGATATTAAGAACACACAGTAAAGTTATGACAGCTTATGGAGATTTGTATTTGAATTAATTAACAAATATTTTCAAGTGTTACATGCACCGGGATGCCCAGCCCTTAAAGTCTCCATCTCTTTATCAGCCCCGAGTATCATCCCCAAAAAATGTCAATTATAAATGGGGGGCTTCCTATAAGTATGTAAAAGAAAACATTTATTTAATTTAGTTTACAGCACTTAAACACAACATTTTATTTATATAATTTAAACATGATTTAAGTAGCAAAACTCAATTTCATTATTCTTTCAAGCCAAGAGAGACGCTCATGAACACATCATGTTGAAGAGTTTATCTGTGTGAGCACCACACACACACACACACACACACAAAGATAAACTCACCTGAGTTCCTGGACATAGAGAGGGGAGGAGCTGACCAGGTAGCTAACATAACACCAGGGAGGAAACCCTGAAAGTGAAAGTGTTCAGTTGGTTCAGTCTCCATTTGAGTCGACAGAGCAGAAGGAGGAAAACTGAAGGCTGAGGCAGGGTGAGTGTTAATACAACAGAAGTTTTCCCCCTGTG